AAGAAGGGAAAGATGTGCCAACGGTTAAATATTTCACATTAATACATGTTTATGATTTGGGATTAGTTCTTAAAATATAGGATAAGTGCATATAAATGTATGATCACATGTAAATACTTAGATCACGTTTGAACCATGTGCTTAATTTCCATCTTTAACACCAAAGGCTGGTTGGTCTTAAATACATATACATACGTATATATATATATATTTGTGAGTATATATTTATATATGTCAATATAAAATAGTCTTTATATAGATACATACATATGTACATATATATATACATTTATACATACATATATTTATGTATTTGAGAACTATCAGCCTTTGATGGTTAAGATTGTTCTCAAATACATAAATATATATGTATACTGTATATACAGTATGTATAAATGTATATATATATGTGTGTATTTATGTATATATGTGTATATAGAATAGGCTCTGACAAAAAATATTATTCTATATATACATATATAAATATATACACACATACACACATTTATACATATATATTTATGTATTATGAATATATATATATATATATATATATATATAGACATATACAAATAAACACAATCGCGTCAGATTGTATTGTACATTGCATATTTATATGTGCATTGTTATTGGACATTGTACCAGATGAAATTGGCATATATGGATGTACTATGTACATTTGGTCCCTGGTTCCTGACATCCTCAACCTACGACATTTCCTGGTAATTTCGCCATCTCCCATATTTACTAAGAGAATCGTTCCATTGTCCAGTGTATGGGGTTAAAAAAACGGGCACTAGTTAGCAAGCTCTATATGCGGAAGATGGTTTTCTTTACATTTGCCGGTTGTACGCCATACATTGGATTTGCGCTACATCAGCTACATCTATTTGTAGTGTTTTTTTGGGGAACTTTTTACCCTTCATTGTGGCTCCAAAGCATAAGTCAAACTTGTCTGATGTTTTATGTTCCAGATTAGGATGGTACCACTGTGAGTGACACAGCTACTTGTCCAGTATGTGCGTTCCGACATGCGTAGTAGCGGAACATTCGTGGTACATAATATTTATTCATCCACACTTACACTTACTGCTGATCTAACAAACCTGACAAGTCACTGAGAAGGTTTGGACTAGTTATTGACCTGTGAAAATACGTTTTCAGTTCTGAACTTTTTACCTTTTTGTTTTAGTGCAGGACATTAAAACAACAGAGATCATTTATCGTCTCCTCAGGCTCAGATTGTTTTTTTCAACATTTCTTAGTGGTATACCCACTACGTTATGTATAATAAATGAGGATATTTTAGGTCAATATTCTTCATCAAAGTTCACTCACAATGTGTCTATTGAAAAAAAAAAACACATTTGAATTATACATTTTTCCTTTAATTAAAAATAAATATTTTCCACCAGCGTCCATCTGCCTGGTGACCATGGAGTGGCCCTGACCTGGGGCTGTATTTTAATTAGTAGCTTCAAAGTTTGCCTGTGGGCTGCCCACTCTGTGGACTGTGTAGACTCTGACCCTCCCTCTCTCATCAGAATCGAATGTTTTTGATTCTACCTGCTCCGTGTGGTGTGATAGTTGGACAGTTTTATCTCAGTGGAGCAGTCTCTGAAGTTTAATGTGGGCGGCAGTTAAGGTCTTCAGATAAAAGTTCACGAGAAATATTTGAATATTTACCGCCACACATATCAACTTGGTAACAGTACTACAGAGGGCCCTCCTTGTGACTCCTCACAAGCCCAAATTTAGATGTTTTTGTTCCTGGTTTTAGTGGACTTGTAGAGTCGATCAAGACCATTTAACAGACCTACTGGTCTTATATGGTACGTATGAGGCTCTGGACCAGTCCTATTCTTTCGAAACAGTTTAGAGAACGACGACTAACATTGACGAGCAGCACCTGGATAGTGTGAAATCATTTTTTCAACACCAATGGCAAGAGCGGGATTTAAACCTTCTGTCACAAGACTGTAATCTTCCCATCAGGCCATCGGCCACTTAGGTTCAGCATCAGGTGATATCAATCTAGATTCTCATAATGGAAATATCTGATACTCGATAAGTATCGATCACGATAAGTATGGATAATACCCAATATTCAGTAATTAAGATTATCGAGTATCGTTGCAGAGTCAGGTCCTGTAGCGGAAGAACCAATACTTAGCATAGTATTTTGGAATATACGTACAAGCCTATGTACTAAACCACAGAAAATTAAAAATAAAAAAAATTACCATACCTATTTTTCATCTTGGCTAGGGTTCAATCCCTTTTATTAATTTTTGGTGCTTCATGATAAGGTTCGTAAGTTACGTTTTCGCCTACAACACACCTCTGTCCCAAGCATTTTCAGTCAGTGTATCATCAGTTAGTGTTTCTGTGGATTGCTAGTGAATACTGAGATTCAGTTCCAACGAAATTCGAGGAAGGCTATAATCAGAGCTCATGTGGGTGGCAGGCTAATTGAAAGAGCTAAGCTGCATTAGTTTCTAATAGGATATTAATTTTCGAGAGACGACTCAGTGGCTGTGCTCTCGCAGTTATCCCGTGAACTCCTCTCTGTTGCCTATTATACTGCCATTATATTATTTGATCTAACACGTACACGGTGTGTGTACCAAAGGCAGTTGAAATGAACTTTGTGCAGTAATTAAAGTCGTATCGTAGGCTTTTTGATATAAGTGATGAATATGTGGTCCGTGACCATGTGGCAGTTGAATATATTTATAGCATAAATATACAGTATACATATTAGAATATCAATACCACTTCTGACAGTATACATTTAGTCACTTCCATAGTGTAGCGGTTAGCACGCCTGTCTCGAAAGCAGAGCGTTCTGGCTTCAATTCCCAGAGGTAGCGCCTGCTAGAGGCAGCCTGTTAACAGCATATCTGCTGCTAACACAACAATTTTCCAAATATGGAATCAATACAGTACAAATGTATTTATTTTTTTATTTTTAGTATATAGAATTTTACATTTTGTAATTACATTTACAGGTTAGTGCAGAATACAAAATATATGTAATATATATATTAATATATTTGTATATATTTATGTATATATGTATGTATATATGTGTGTGTAAATATAGTTCTATATTTACATAAATATATGTTTTTTGACCAAATTCCTCACATATATTCGGACATACATATATTTTCATATATATTTATATATGTATGTATATATGTGTGTGTAAATATAGTTCTATATTTACATATATATTTTACATAAATATATGTTTTTTCGGAGATACATATTTTTTTAAAATATATATGTCCAAATATCCCATGGCCAAAAAACATGCATGGTTGCATGGTAACAACTGTAATTAATGATCCACCTTCTCATTTCCCAGTGCATCTGATATTTTTCCCCTAAATGAATTTATCGGCACTTCTTGGCTCAAAGCTCTCATTTTACAGTTATAATCATTATTTATTAGATGATTTTAGAGAATATATCATCAGCTTCTGCCTTGGCTGGAATAGCTGTGACTCAGCAGGCGGAGAGAGAGTGTGTCGTCCTGTAGCTCCACAGTCTCTTCCCAGCTGCACTACTTTTAATTTCATTGTGTTTCTGGACGAAGACACTAAACTCCAAGTTGCTTGTTGCAGCTGTGTCTGCAGAGTGAATGGGAGTGAATGATGACACACACTTTATATGTGTGTGTGTGTGTGTGTGTTTTAGGCATTCGGTGAATGGAACGTAGTGTAAAGTTCCAGCAGCGTTTATCAGTTCTAGAACAGTGCTGTATACATGCACAGCGCAGGTCATTAACCTCTCGGTGCAGGAGTCATTAAAAGTAACTATTGTTAATGTTTGTTGTTTAGTGTTAGAGTTTGTTCTTTCGTCATCCGTTTGCAAATGACCTTGGCGAGTGTCGAGGTACCGTTGGAGACTGTTAGTCATTTTCATGGCCTCTCCGCGTTTTAGTCCCTCCTGTAAGATCACTTGTTCGCACGTCCCACTGTTTACAGTGTATTTTATTACCGTGCGCATTTAGTAAATCAAACTTCACAGTAACTGGAACAAGCTGGAGCTAATCCCAGTTTTGTGAGCTGGATCGTATGAGAAAAATATGCCGCCAGTTTATGAGTGTTGTTAATGCTACTGGAATGGGGGCAGTGTTCTATTTCATGATCAGGAATAGATCTATAGATTAGCGCCGCTAATGGGCAATGGTCGATACCAGAACTGGGCTAATGCACCATCCTTACTTCTGCTCTGACCTTCTATTTGTCTAAATGAGAAAGTGTGTTAAACAGAGCAACAGTTGCAGTTGTCATCTAACTGCTACATTTTATTTTTGAGATGTTGAGGCCTCCCAGAGCTACTAAGTTTTATGGCTTCAGTAAAGCAGTGATAGGTTTTCCCGTCCGGCATGCAGAAGGTTCAGGGTTCAATTCTCCTCGTCCTAAATCTGAGCTTCGATCACAATTGAAAGTGTGTACAATCAAGTACTCAAAACCAAAGTATCACTGTGCCTTCCAAGGGTTCATGGATCCCTCATGGAACCCCGTCGCTTAGTTTTCCGACAACAACTTCACTAAAGTTACCGATTACATCATCCCCCTGTGCCGCTCATCTTTTCCTTGTCCATCGTCACTCCCCCTCCTTGACCTACAAAAACTTTTATTCAGACATCCATCACTTCAGTCGTACATTTCAACAACTGCCTTTTTGTGGAGCAACCACCACAAAAATTGCATTTGATATTTTCTAAAGTTGGCCACCCGTCGTC